TGGGCGATAATTCTTAAGAGGTGTGCATGTAACTTTTAATTTTGGTGAAAATAGAGGGCCAATCATAAACAATAAGTTGATGAAAAACCGACAAAACCATACATGATAAAACAAGAGTGCACACGCTGAAATGCATTGCATACTATATCTTGGTAGTCCTACATATAAAGTTTTACTACAAGTATCACATTAACATTTATGATTCAAGAAAATGAGGTCAAGGTCAGATCAACCAAGCTGGAAATATATGTACACCTTTAATACAATCATTCCATACACAGAATATAGACGACCTATTGCTTATAGTATAAAAGAAACAGACCAAACCATGGAAATTCTATATCGACCAATGAACCATGAAAATGAGGTCAAGGTCAGATGAACCCTGCCAGACAGACATGTACACATTAAAATCATTACATGCATCAAATATAGTTGACCTATTGCTTATAGTATCTAAGAAACAAAGATAACCAGGAAAACTGAACGTTGACCAAGGAACCATGAAAATGAGGTGAAGGTCAGATGATACCTGCCAAACAGACATATACACCTTACAATCATTCCATACACCAAATATAGTTGCTTAAAGTTTAAGAAAAACAGACCAAAACACAAAAACTTAACATAAGCAATGAACCATGAAAATGAGGTCAAGGTCAAATAAAACCTGCCAGACTGATATGTACATCGTAAAATATTCCATACACCAAATATAGTTGACCTAATGCATACAGTATTAGAAAAACAGACCAAAACACAAAAACTTAACATTGAGCAATGAACCTTGAAAAGGAGGTCAAGGTCAAATAAAACCTGCCAGACTGACATGTACATCATTAAATATTCCCATACACCAAATATAGTTGACCTACTGTATACAGTATTAGAAAAACAGACCAAAACACAAAAACTTAACATTGAGCAATGAACTGTGAAAATGAAGTCAAGGTCAGATGATACCTGCCAGACAGACATATACACCTTACAATCATTCCATACACCAAATCTAGTTGACCTATTGCTTAAAGTGTAAGAAAAACAGACCAAAACACAAAAACTTAACATAAGCAATGAACCATGAAAATGAGGTCAAGGTCAATAAAAAACCTGCCAGACTGACATGTACATGGTAAAATATTTCTATACACCAATTATAGTTGTCTTACTACATACAGTATTAAAAAAACAGACCAAAACACAAAAACTTAACATTGAGCAATGAACCGTGAAAATGAGGTAAAGGTCAAATAAACCTGCCAGACTGACATGTACATCATAAAATATTTCCATACACCAAATATAGTTGACCTACTGCATACAGTATAAGAAAAACAGACCGAAACACAAAAACTTAACATTGAGCAATTAACCGTGAAAATGAGGTCAAGGTCAAATAAAACCTGCCAGACTGACATGTACATCATAAAATATTTCCATACACCAAATATGGTTAACCTATTGCATACAGTATTAGAAAAACAGACCAAAACACAAAAACTAAACTATTACCACTGAACCATGAAAATGAGGTCAAGGTCAGATGATGTTCAACATGTACACCTTTCAATCATTACATACACCAAATATAGTAGACCTATTGCTTATAGTATGTGAGATATGGGTTTGACCACGAAAACTTAACCTTGTTCACTGATCCATGAAATGAGGTCGAGGTCAAGTGAAAACTGTCTGACAGGCATGAGGACCTTGCAAGGTACGCACATACCAAATATAGTTATCCCATTACTCATAATAAGAGAGAAATTAACATTACAAAAAATATAAACTTTTTTTTAAGTAGTCACTGAACCATGAAAATGAGGTCAAGGACAATGGACATATGACAGGCGGAAACTTCATATCATAAGGCATCTATATATATAAAGTATGAAGCATCCAGGTCTTCTACCTTCTGAAATATTAAGCTTTTAAGAAGTTAGTAAATGCTGCCACCGCTTGGTTAACTATCCCTATGTCGAGCTTTCTGCGACAAAAGTCGCAGGCTCGACAAAAATAAGGAGAACAATGACAAAAAGCCAAACAATAGTCTATAAAATACTTCATAGAAAACACTTCACTGAGCAACACAAATCCTGAAAGTGATCTATAATACCTAAGGCTCTGACATTTGATTATAAAGGCGTTTCACCTGCTGTGTGTTAAAATAAAATAATTTTTGTGACATATAGATTTTAAAATTCTAAACTTTCAATGACGTCAATGAAATCATGAATGAGATATAAAGTTTGTACTTATGCTGAACCTTTAAAATTTAATTCAATTGTTTTATAACTGACATTTTATTGTCAAGGTATTTCATGGTACAATTATTAAACACTTAATTAATTCAATTGTTTCATAACCAACTTTTTTGTTGTTGTAAATAAATAGCACCTGCCATGTGCCAAAATCACAAATTTTTAGGGACTTTTATTCAAAACATTTTTTTTCATTTTGTTATTAAACATCAGAATTTGATACTGTGGATAACATCAATGACATCAGAATTGAATACTGTGGATTCAGAAATGATTGTGTACATCATTATTGGTATTGTTGAACAATGGACACTAATGTGAGATTGATTATTGGGATTTCAGGAAATAGTTCATACAAATAATGCTATCAAAATTTAAAAAGCAAGGTTTTATTTTTGTGACACCTGTCTCGTCCCAATTTTCGCTATAATAAAAACATCACAGAAAATTTCTGAATTTACAGTGTGTAAACAGGGGCTGATCCAGGATTTTAGGTTAGGGGGGCCCAAAATTAAATTTTTCGCTGAGTGGACAGGGCGAAAAAATTTTTGAGGCAAAATCATCAAAATATTCTTTATTAAGCTGAGGACAACCCATGCTTTGCAAATTTTAGGGAGGTGGAGGGGGGTGGGGGTTGCACTCCCTCCACGCCGCCGCCTGAATCTGCCCCTGGTAAATAATTGAATTATGGTTAACCTTATCTCTATTATAATGATATGTAGTTGTATGATTGTTATATTCAGTTCAAAGGTTATCACTATGAAATTAAAATCTGTAAATTCAAATGAATAAAAAGTAAAATAACAAAAATACCAAATTCCAAGGGAAATTAAAAACGGAAAGACCCTTAACAAATGGCAAAAATCTAAGTTTGTTAAGTGCACATGTTCATACATCTATGCAATGAATTCACACATACCGGTTTATAATTTTCAGTCAGTCATATATAATTCTAGAATACACATCTAACAACTTTTTTTAAATTTGTGGACTATATAACCACAGGCAAAACAATATTTTTTTATGTAAAGGTAATGACTCACTTCTTTATATCTAGTTATTTATTTGTGTTAAGAGTCAAAATAAAATTCTTATATAAGTGAAAAAGTCAAGGTTGTTCTATGATTGTTTGTGGCAAAATTCAAACAAGAATCATTTAAAGCTCATAAATCAAAGTAGCTCAGAGAGAAATCTGTAAATCATATTGGTTCAATTCTCAAAAACTTGCACACAGTATAGGTGAATAAAAGTATTAGGGAGACATCTAGTTGGCATATTCTACTATATATGAGCCTTTAAATAGGAAAACTTCAATCAATTAAGTTCCTTTACTCCTGAAAATGCTTCAAACATTCTTTTTGTTTTTAGTTCCTTTAATTCAAATGGTCAAAGATTTCAAGTACTTAATTAACACAATAACAGGGATAAAAAGGAAGATTAAATGTTATCCTCCCAGAAAATGGTCATGACCTATATTTTCAATTTCATTAGTCCACAGGTATGTGTAAGTATGTGTTTTTTAAGTATAATTCTAATTTGAAAGTAATAAATCCTTTTTTGAATTCTCTTTTTATCATTATTCTAGGAAACATTGACATAATACACTGACTTCATGTTTAATTTCATCATCCAGCTAAGGAAGGAAATCTGGGGTGTTCCAAAACCATTCCTATTCCAATAATTTTGTGAAAAAAAAACTCATTTAAACAGGTTATTAAATTGAGGCAATGGTACTTCCTCCATTAGACAACTTAATTGGCCCCAGAACAGTTATTTCGTAGTGCATTTCTTTTAGACAATAAATTCAAATTAAAAAAAATCGCACCTGCTCTATCTCAAAAAGATTTTTACAGTGTAGTGTACTACTTTAGGGGCAAAAAATATATAAATTATAGAAAATTTGGATGATTATTTTTGATGTTTAAATAGAACAATTTCAACTATCAAGATTTGGGCATAAAAAATTTAAATATTGCAAAAGTTTGCTTTTATATAATGTATTATGTATTAAAAGCAACTGAACACTTATTTGATTTATCAGATTTATTACAATGATTCAAAAGTCAAATCTATATGAACCCGTGCCTGAAAATGTATGATGGACCTCAACCTTTATGTATAAAGCTCTTCACATTTCATGTGAATGAAACTGGCCGTTCAACCAGGACCATAAATACAACACATTTTGCACATTTTTTCTGTGAAAATCTACTTTTCTCTAGATTCAGATTTCACAAATGAATAATGCAGCTTGAATTAAGCATAGAAACACAAATATCAAAACATAAAAACCTGTCAGATAGAAATTCAGCATGTCTCTTAGGCATAACAATGGAAACTGCTTTAAAATGCTTATTTTAGCCGTACAATGGCAAAATGGGACATTTTTACAGAATTTCTATCAAATAAAGATGTAAATCCGTTTGACAAATTGAAACCAGCAAACCATTCAGGGAAGTTGCCAAAGTACAGAATCTACATTTACTGAATTCATCTCTTAGGCCCGAGAACACAATAATTTCGTAGTGCATTTCTTCAAGACAATAAATTCAAATTAAAAATATTTTTTTAACATTTAATAAATTTGGAAATTGTATGAAAAAAATTTGCAAGTTATACACTGTCCACCCTAGGGACTATATATGTAGACAACGAAAATCAAAAGACGATAACTGTGTCCTCGGACCAATTAATTGATTTAAACTCTCGGAAGCATAATGGATGCACAATACTGCTTACCTCTGATGCCAGTTTTAAAACCTCGGTATTTTTACTTTTCTTTGCCATCACTTGATACTGCAATCTTTTCATTAAATCTCCAACTGTACCAAGACCTGTTTTACCATCATCTGGAGAAACATAAAACAAGAAGTGCACAAGGAAATAAAGATACTGAGAGAGTTCGACAGGAAACCAGTCACTTGTTTAGGTGAACCTGTTGATTAAAATCTCATTTCTATATTGTAAATTATGCTTTGGGAAACATCAAATATCATTTGGGTCAAACTAGAGGCTTCTAATAGCCTGAAAAACTCACCTGCCAAATCTTATTGCTCTAGAGGAGGTAAATTCTGATAAATTCAGCTACACATAGTTCAATTTCCTCAACTCATTTTACGAGCAGAAAAAAAAAACCAAAATAAATAGCTTGGTTTTAAATTTGAAAATTGAACTGTCTTGATTGGAGAAATATGGTATCACACTTGATCCGGTAGTAGAGTTTATATATAATCTCTATATCTTTAAGCTATATATACCTAGGTCTCCTATTTTAGATATTTCTCTAAATATCTGTATAATATACCTTATTCAACTAAGCTATATATACCTGGGTCTCCTATTTTAGATATTTCTCTATATATCTGTATAATATACCTTATCTAACTAAGCTATATATACCTGGGTCTCCTATTTTAGACTGGTATTTCTCTATATATCTGTATAATATTCCATAGTTATCAAAATTTAACTTCTCTTGTAATGATGTGTCACCAAATCTGAAACATATAAGAATTAATCTGTAATCATTTACAGAGATCCTAGCTAAGACAGCATAAGAGATTAGCCTACTGTGTAATCATTTACAAAGATCCTAGCTAAGACAACATCAGAGATTAGCCTACTGTGTAATCATTTACAAAGATCCTAGCTAAGACAGCATCAGAGATTAACCTACTGTGTAATCATTTACAAAGATCCTAGCTAAGACAGCATCAGAGATTAACCTACTGTGTAATCATTTACAAAGATCCTAGCTAAGACAGCATCAGAGATTAACCTACTATGTTATCATTTACAAAGATCCTAGCTAAGACAGCACCAGAGATTAACCTACTGTGTAATCATTTACAAAGATCCTAGCTAAGACAGCATTTTAATGTTTGATGACTTGTCAGCTTGTTCTAAATAACTAGAAATACCTCCTGTAATGTCAAAATTATTATTGAAAATCTTCATTAATGGACACATGGTATTTCTCAATCTATAGTTTTATTAAAATGTTACATAACTAAACAAACTTTTCTCTGTGATGGTAAATACAAAGAACCAATCTATTTAAATCAAATGCTTTTAAGAAACATTCATCATTAGAGCTTAGACGATATGTTTTATTTACTTCAGTTTAGAAGTGTGAAAATTCAAAACCATAAGTAAAGGAAAAACAGACTACTTCATAAATACCTAGGGGGCAGGAAAAACAGACTACTTCATAGATACCTAGGGGGCAGGAAAAACAGACTACTTCATAGACACCTAGGGGGCAGGAAAAACAGACTACTTCATAGACACCTAGGGGGCAGGAAAAACAGACTACTTCATAGACACCTAGGGGGCAGGAAAAACAGACTACTTCATAGACACCTAGGGGGCAGGAAAAACAGACTACTTCATAGACACCTAGGGGGCAGGAAAAACAGACTACTTCATAGACACCTAGGGGGCAGGAAAAACAGACTACTTCATAGACACGTAGGGGGCAGGAAAAACAGACTACTTCATAGATACCTAGGGGGCAGGAAAAACAGACTACTTCATAGATACCTAGGGGGCAGGAAAAACAGACTACTTCATAGACACCTAGGGGGCAGGAAAAACAGACTACTTCATAGACACCTAGGGGGCAGGAAAAACAGACTACTTCATAGATACCTAGGGGGCAGGAAAAACAGACTACTTCATAGATACCTAGGGGGCAGGAAAAACAGACTACTTCATAGATACCTAGGGGGCAGGAAAAACAGACTACTTCATAGACACCTAGGGGGCAGGAAAAACAGACTACTTCATAGACACGTAGGGGGCAGGAAAAACAGACTACTTCATAGATACCTAGGGGGCAGGAAAAACAGACTACTTCATAGACACGTAGGGGGCAGGAAAAACAGACTACTTCATAGACACCTAGGGGGCAGGAAAAACAGACTACTTCATAGACACCTAGGGGGCAGGAAAAACAGACTACTTCATAGATACCTAGGGGGCAGGAAAAACAGACTACTTCATAGATACCTAGGGGGCAGGAAAAACAGACTACTTCATAGATACCTAGGGGGCAGGAAAAACAGACTACTTCATAGATACCTAGGGGGCAGGAAAAACAGACTACTTCATAGACACCTAGGGGGCAGGGCCTCGAAATAGCCATCAAACTGATATGTATTGATAGTAATGCAACTTTATAGAAAATGTCATTGATCTATCACAAGTAGTTCCTATCAAACTGACTTAAGCAGAAAACTTAACAATTGTTGACGCATCCTCCCCAGCGGCCTCCAGAAAAGCAATACCTAAGTCTCGCTACTTTCGTCGCAGTTGAGACAACTAGGAAATTAGGAAAAAAGAAATCATTTAAGTGCAATAACTCCTAAAAAAAAAGAAAGAAAAAAACATGTTACAAATTTAATGCATCCGAAGCGCTTTTCTGGATTTACCTTCATCAGGAACGCTCAAAGCCGAATATTTGAAAGCCAAGGATGTATAAGGACCGAAAACTTTGAAGAGTTTTAAACCAAAAAGGACCTAAAAAGAAATAGCCAAATCCATCCAAGGTCAACTTTGCCTGAGGGAGTTGAAACCTTAGTTTCTGTATAATTTCACAATTTATAAATGGGCAATTTAAGATACTTTGTTATAAATCATGTCAGTACCGAAGTACTGACTACTGAGCTGATAATACCCTCAGGGACTGATAGTCCACCAGCAGAGGTATCGAGGAGTCATCTGATAAGTTTGATGAAAATGGTCAGTACAAACATCTTGACATTGGAAGTATATTTGCCCTGTTGTTTTTTCCTTTTCTATTATATTTGCTCTGTTGTTTTTCCCTTTCTATTATGGTTTTCAAGATATTAGACAGTTAATGCATTTTACCCTTTTGTTCATTTTTTAGTCAGGGCAGCCATGTTGGATGATTGGCAAGGCATAAAACATACTTGATACTACACATCATTAGGATCATTGAGTTTAAGTTTAGTCTAAGTTGGTCAAGTTGGATTTTTAAGAAGACTTTTGTAAAATTTTACAACAATGATGGATGCAAAAGCTCAAATGATCCATTTGGCCTAGTGAGCTAAAAACAATCACATAATTTCAACTGAACTGAACTATTTGATTGTTTAAATGCCTACCAATTAAATGTTATATACCATAAAAATAACTGTGTTGTTTAGCTTATGTAAGCTTGTCATTTGGGTTCTTTAAATTACGTGTAAATGTATATTTGAGAGATTGATCTGTTTTAGCACATAATTACTTCATACGAATTGATTGTATATCTCCAATCTGAAAAAAAAACCCAGTTATGTAACAGTAAGTCCAATCTCCAATTAACTAGTAGACTTGGCAGAATACATGCATAATACCATACACGTGTAAGATATATCTCTGTCAGAAGTGTCACATTCATTTGTAAGACATAATAGTGTCCTGTGAAAAGTGTCCACCTGGACAGTTTTTCATAGAATTTTGGTATTTAATAATGTCCATTGCCATGAAATATTGTCCCTCAAGTGGACAGATAATTACTGCAAAAGTTATGAAATAGTGTCCACCCACAGGACAATTTTTCATAGTAGCTGCTATTAAATTGTGTCCTCATAGCGAAGTAATACAAATGTCATTAAAAAGTTTATTATATTTGATTTTTGATAAAATTTGAACGATTGATTAGAAATTGATTAATATAAACAAACAAATAATGGATGGAAGTGAATATAGAGATATTTTTAAAGTTCTAAGATACCAAGCTAATGCTAATGACAATGAAAGAAAAACAATAAGAAGAAGGTGTGTTAAGTATAAAATCAAATGTGAAGAACTTTACTATATTTATTATGAGAAGAAGGCAAAAGAAAATATAGAATTTTGGTATTAAATATTGTCTCCTAAGTGGACAGCATTGTATAGAAACAGTTATGAAATATGGTCCACCTACAGGACAATTTTTCGTAATAATTGTAATTAAATTGTGTCCTCCAAGGAAAATAATACTGAACAACATCTGTTACTTGTTTGAATTTAAATCATTATATACATGTATATATATATATATAAAAATCTTAATAAGAAGATCAGGATGGTATGAGTGCCAATGAGACAACTCTCTGTCAAAGTAACAATTTGTATTAAAGTTCGCAATTATAAGTTAAAATACGTCTAGTAATAACTAAGCAATGGATATCATTTAATACTTTAATCACATCAAAAAAGTCCTAGCAGACATAATGTCCTGTGAAAAAATGTCCACCTGGACAGAAATACAGTATTAAATATTGTGCATGTTCATGGACATTTTTTCATACCTGAGGACATATTTTCATAGGAAATTGTGTCCAGGACACATTTAAATAAGTAAATATTGTCCATGGACAGTATTTACTATGAAATTATGTCCAGTGGACATTATTTCATGGGGGACATTATTTAATCCTACACATTATCATACAAATTGCACATGTAACATTCACACAGGCAATTGAAACAATGAAACAGCGGAGTGAAAATTACAGAAATTAAATATCTGAAATACTCAAGTCATAACAAGTGAAACTGTTAGCTAATGCTCCCTGATGATACCCCCGCTCAAATATTTCGGTAAACAGGAAGTTGTTAAGTGATGAATTTGAAAAAAAATCACACGGTAAAGCTGACTTATATAAATCCTGAAACCAAATTTCAGAAATCCTTATGATGTAGTTCCTGAGAAAGCTGCGACAATAAATATTCATGGGACGGATGGACGGACTGACGGATGGACGGATGGATGGATGGACCGATGGATGGACGGACAGACAGAGGTAAAACAGTATACCCCCACTTTTTTAAAGCGGGGGTATAATTATTCAAACAACTTCTGATAAAAAAAGAAGAAAAACCCAGCATTTTATGTAATATCAATTAAGAGTAAAGTTTTGCTTACACTTCTATATAAAGATCAGAAATGTCTGTGTGCATTTACTACTCAGATTGTTGAACAACAATTTGCGAAAATGCTGCATACAAATAATGGTAAATTTGTCTGTTTCCAGATTATCAATTGATAGCATAAAGCCAGCTAATTCTAGCCTAAACCTAAAGACAGCTAATTCTAGCCTAAACCTAAAGGAGATCAAACAAGAAATAAAGGTGCACAATAAGTATCAGTTCCTTTATGAACAGACTGTGAATCTTCCCAAAGTTTTCAATGAACCATCTAAATTTAAAGGTGATGACTATTGGGTCAGCTTGACTGCAGGGAATATAATTACCTCTCAGCTACAGTAGCTTGCTCATTTATACCAATATTGAAGAATACAGGTGTAATGTTTATATGTTTTCCTTTCTGCAGGGGGTCAGGTAATCTCTCGAACAACTCTGCCTTCACTGGCACAGTAACAATTAAACCATGTCTGAAAAATATATAAAGAATATAACATTGACAGTGACATTTATATATTATCACATAATTGTTTCGAACACATTGGGTTTTGCATACTTTTGCATACTAGTATGTAAAAACTATAGAATTGCCCTAGTCAAATCTGCCTGGGGTAAATGACCTGTATTTTGCCATATTCTCAATGCGTCGTCAGCATTCTTAACAACATTGGTGAACCAGGAAGATGCTTGTTTTGCAATATTGAGCAAAACTAAACAGCAAAATTTGTTAAACAAATACAGAAAGTTAAAAAATGGGTTTTTGTCATTGTTGAAGGCCGTACGGTGATCTATAAATGCTTAAATTCATTTCATTTGAACTCCAGTGGATAGTTGTCTCATTGTCAATCATACCACATCTTCTTATTTTCATAGTTAAAGAAAAACTTTTAAAGCATTTGTTAAATATGTGGTAAATGATTTTAACATGTCTTTATCCATATTGGTCCACATTTGTGCCCTATACTTGCACCATGGGCTGATGAAGGAGTCTTGTGATTATACCAGGGATGATATTGATGATATTACATGGTAGTTTCCATAATAGCCCTGGTATCATCCTGATACTCCTATAAAGATCGTGGGCTTAAAGCCAAGGGTTGATATGGGATGAGGGATGATACAAGTCATACAAGCATGCAAGATTTCAATCTAGGTCTTATGAAGGGTGATACAGTTTATTTACCAAACTTATTGAATCAACAACAGAAGATGCTACCTATTTATGATGATTGGAGAATTAACTTATTACACAACAGGATGATGATATCAAGTCACTGATATGATATCACCTGCAAGTCCTACATAGCAGCAGTATATGACATGGTTTGACTAGAAATTCTTTATATCATAACTTCATACATACCTTTGAAAATCTGGATTGGAACCATATTTTAATTTTCTGAAATTAAACAATTAGATTATTATTTAGCAGGATATCAAAACATTATAATTTTCTTAACACTCCAATGTTGTATGTTATTAAATCTTTTTTCATTAGTGAGTATCAAAGCAACCAAACAGTTTATACATATATAACAAGAATGTGTCAATAGTACATGGATGCCCCACTCGCACTATCATTTTCTATGTTCAGTGGACCGTGAAATTGGGGTCAAAACTCTAATTTGGCATTAAAATTAGAAAGATCATATGATAGGAAACATGTGTACTATGTTTCAAGTTGATTGGACTTCAACTTCAGCAAAAACTACCTTGACCAAAAACTTAAACCTGACTTGACCAAAAACTTTAACCTGAAGTGGGACAGACGGACAGACGAACGAACGGACAGACGAACGAACAGACGCACAGGCCGATAAAAACATAATGCCCCTAGGTGGGGCGTAAAAATAAGAAGATGTGCTATGAATGCCAATGAGACAACTCTCAAAAAGAGACCAAATGACACAGAAGTTTACAACTATAGGTCACTGTATGGTCAACAATGAGCAAATCTCATACCACATAGTTAGCTATAAAAGGTCCCAAAATGACAAATGTAAAATAATTCAAACAAGAAAACTAACGGCCTGATTTATGTACAAAACAATAATAGAAATACAAATATGATATACAGCAACAAATGACAACCACTGAATTACAGGCTCCTGTTTTGGCCAAGCCACATACATAATGTGGCCGGGTTAAACACAAGTTTGCTGGCATCCAACCCTCCCCCTAACATGGGACAGTGGTGTAATAAACCCATTACATGATGTTATTTGTAGGAATTCCCACACATGCCAAACAGTCTTGAAAGTGCTAGTGAAATTTTATATTTGGACAATAACTTTTCAGTATATTTTTTGGAATTAGAAGTTATACATTTTATTTTTCATTAAGTTAACCATCCTGTACTTTTGATTTTTGTCAGTTTGTGAGTGAGTCATTCAAGTTTAAAGATCAACTAATGGTTAACCACGTATTCATAAATACACTTACATTACTATGGAGAAGCGAGAGGATAAAAAGTGATTAACTTAAAATACTAAATTTTGTAAAAAATAAAGTGTAATTTGTCTTCACTGGAATCATTTCCTTATTGTCCCTAGGTTTTTTTACAATGTAAGTAAAATGTATTTTCACTTTCTCCTGTAGATGCTGTCTCATAAAGCAGGTACACAAGATTGATGCAGTTTTTAATTTTTTTTTAGATACTTAAAAGAAATAAGATGATGATGAATGGCTGCTTAATGAAGAAAATAAGAAGATGTGGTATGACTGCCCATGAGACAAGTCTCCACCAGAGACCAAATGACATAGAAGTTAACAACTATAGGTCTCCGTACGGCCTTCAACAATTAACAAAGCCCATACTGCACAACAATCTATAAAAGGCCAAGAAATGACAAATGTTTAACAATTCAAACGAAGACTAACGGCCTGATATATGTAAAAATTAACTTTAACCTACAACTTAAAGTGACACAAAATATCAGTCATCGCTTGTTTTATGATATTTTTGGACTCATATATCCATGTTAATTACTAGTTTTGAGAATATGACTTCTTAATTTGATACTTAAAACATACTGATGTCAATGGTTAACCAAGTGTTCATAAATACCCTTACATAACTACGGGGAAGTCAGGGGATAAATGTAATCAACTCAAATTACTAAATTATAATAGTGTAATTTAATGCAATTATCAGTCAAGGATTAAGTATTTCTAGAATAAAAGCTTAACAGTTCATCTAAATGGCAATAACAATACAGCATTAACTTCCTATATATATTGTAATTTTAATAATTATCACTTAATGATACTGAATTACTTATTGGAGTATCATTAGCCTGATCAATTGGTAAATAGACAATTATCATAATTACCTGACAATAATATAAAGAAAGATAACTCTTGTCATCCTTTCAGGAAAATATGAGAAGTCTGAAATAATTTCCAATAAATATCCCTTATAACATGTCAAAAAAAAACTAAAGGATCATTGAGAAAATTTTACATTTTTAGGGTATGGCATATGTTTAAACTTTTAAATAACAATAACCTGATAGAGTAATATAATCATATATCATAACAAATGATAATCAATGACTCAAAATGACAAAAATTGATCATTTCAGAATCTACTGCAACTTTGAAGTGCTATATAATAATGCCTTTAAATTTTATCCTTCATAAAAACAGGATATAAGTTATCTAAGGTATGCTGACAGACTGTGCCAGACCCTCATGGGTAAAAACACCCTTGTAGTAGTAGTAGTAGATATACTGATACATGAACATGTACTGTTATGTTCAAATTTAGGATAAGCAGTCCTATCCTGTCAGCAAAATAATGTTATACTTACCCATGAAGTGATAGAACAGGGCCTTCATCAATATGTTCTTCAACTTTAACCTTGAACACAACCTGACTGAGATCATCAACAGCAACTATCATGTCTTCTATCATACCATTTTCATCGCTATGACAACTAAGTAAACCTTCAAACTGGACCAGCATACCAACCTGACAGAGCTGGTTTAAGAAGTGTGTATCTGTGGTATGAGTTGTCAACTTGGTCATAAAACCTGTTACTAAGGCAGTTACCTGTTAAATACAGAAAAGAAAATAAACACAAGGTTTTATTTGTATTGTACAATGCTAAAATTTGTTATTTCTTCTGATTCAGCTTGTTTTTTTAGACATTACTATCACATATAAACTTAATACTTTTCATTTGTTTTGTGTTTTTGTTGTCTGAAGTACACATGTCATGAAGTTCTTTTTCAGAGCCGATTTTCATTGCACCTTTTATTTACTGTTTGAGGTAATGGTGGTTTGAATAATTCAAATATAGTTTGGCCTTGCCACATGCTTATGAGCAAATTATTAAATTGTCTGGAATTCAGGTGTTAATGGCAGATTTCTGGTACCTTTCCTTAAAATTGATCCCTAAAATCTTACGTGTGGAATGCTTCATCTTTCATCTTCATCGATCAAAATTCAATTATGACATCAAATGTTTTTGCTTTTTACCTGAATTTGCTATTGACAATGTTAAAAATGTAATAGCTAGCTTTTGTATTACACATATGTTATTGTAATGCAGATGACTTACCGCATGAGAAAAACAAACATCTCTTCTGTACTTTATTGTATAGTTCAACTTAGAATGACCTTTATTTTCCTGACAAAAAAAAAATGCATATTTAATAATTATCAAATTGCAATAAGTAACCTAAAAATAGCTTTATAGATATTCTAATCATCTAAAATCAATATAAAATATGTTAATATAAATAAATGGAGAATGTGTCTATGGGCCACATAGGCCACAGACCACAATTAAATTCCCCTATTAGTTCTTTATAACGTTTTGTTTCATTAAAAAAATTGCACCATGCATTTTTGTCAAATCTTTTGTGTGTGTTATGTATAGTACTAGTCCAATAAACTGCTTCGCTGAGCGCAGCTAGATACGCCCGCAGGTCTGAATTTGCATTGTATTAAAAATTTGACATATTATAGGTTTCTGAATAAATAACTCAAAAATGTTGTCAGACTATAAACAATTAAAGTTCAATTAATTGTCAATGTCATATTAGAAACTTATGAAAATGTAAAGGGAGCTTACATCAATAGATATAAACAATTCACCACAATTTCTTGCGAGTTGGTGAAAGCATTCTTGAGTTATTGTCCGAAAACTGGAAAATCCCCCTTTTTTTAATGAATAAAACCCCATAACTCGGAAATGTAAAATCTAAAATTTATAAAAAACTAAAGGGAGCTCACGTCAATAGATATAAACAATTCACCAAAATTTTATGCAAATTGGTTAAAGCGTTTTTGAGTTAATGTCCGACATGTTGACGACGGACAGACGGACAGACAGACGGACGGACAGAAGGACAGACAGACGGACAACGGTATACCATAATACGTCCCGTAAACGGGCGTATAAAAATATATCCAAAATTCAGAAAGATTGAACCAATGACTCTTACAACAAATTTAGCCAATACACATCCATACCCCTATGGACAAGTCAAGAGATGTTCCGAAAACTGTAAATATCACCTTTTTGCACCTGGCCTAATCACTCTTTCCATATCAAAATCAGTTAAAATACAACATCCAAAAGTTTATTTCACCTCTCTTCTTTTATTTCCACCCAAAAAAAACTAAGAAATGAGTGAGGAAGGGAAAGAAAAAAAATTAAGAAAAAATACACTCTAATTAAAAGGAACTATATTCGTGGACAACGAAAAGCTGGATCATTAATTGTGGTCTTGGGCCTATTAGGGGTCTAAAACTTGACCAATTCTAATAAAACTTGGCAAGATTTAAGCTTAGTGTATTATAAAACAGTTTACAAAGTTTCAAAGCCATATGATACCAATTATAAAAAATGTGGTATTTTTTATATCTGAACTTTGGGTGCTGAATTGTGGCGTTGAATTAGAACAATTTCAACTATCAAATTTGGGCTTCTAAAAACCAAAATATACCAAAACTTACACTTTTTAATGTCTCTATGTATAAGTTATCACCTATTAAAAGCAACAGATAGCATACTTCATGTTTCAGACTTATAAAAAATGGCCAGAAGTAAATTTTATATGAGCCTGTGCCAAAAAATAGAGGTTTTCAAATGAAGTCAGGCCTTATATGAAATGTAATATTTTTCACTTACCACAATTTTCTGAAGTTGTTAAGTTATAAAAAAACCTTTTACATGTTATAAATGTACTTTTAATGGAAATATAAGTTTCAAATAGCATAACACATGTGAATAAAATGGTCTTCAGCAATGTCAAGCTTAAAAAAACAGGTTGTCAATTTAGGTCGTTCCCCACATTTGCATATTAAAAAGCTTATAAATGATATGGGAGATAGAGATATGCTTCTTTTTGCTCAAATCTTTGTTAAGATATGATAACACATGGAGCCTGGATGTAACAAGACTGTCACTTTCAACTATATATGTAGACAGTATGATTTGATGCAAAGTTATTTACTTTACTTTTTAAAACCGGCATGAAATTTCAGCCTCAAAAGGCCAATATTTTAACCACTAGCTATCAAACAAAAGAAAGTTAAGGTAGTTTGTGAAACAGACAAGGTCAAACAACCAGTAATAAGTGCTTTTGATACAGATTCAGTGAAATCTGCTAAAAGGAATTCAACTTGTATGTGCATAGAACCTCATTTTTCAATTGCTTCATACTGACCGTTAGACTAAGACCATTAAAGCAGCACATTTTGCACTCTTATTCTGATTTTATCTACTTTTTTTTTGTGTTCAGTGTTCAAAAATGAGTTAAACATCTTCATTAGATACCACAAACACAAATAGAAAACCAGAAAAATCTGTCAGAGAGAAAGTAAGCATGCTACTTTTGTAAAAATATTGAAAGAACTGAAAAAGTTCAATTTTGGGCATTTAGGCTGAAATGTCACTTTTTTACAAAATTTCTATCAAATAAAAGTAGAAATCATTTATTCTCATGTAGTTTGACAAATTAGTACCAATAGATCATTCAGGGAAGTTGTCAAAGTACAAATTCAATATTTCCTGAATTCACCTCTTAGGCCACAGACCACAATTAAATTCCCCTATTAGTTCTTTATAACGTTTTGTTTCATTAAAAAAATTGCACCATGCATTTTTGTCAAATCTTTTGTGTGTGTAATGTATAATACTAGTCCAAAGATATATTCAAAATTCAGAAAGATTGAACCAATGACTCTTACAAATTTAGCCAATACACATCCATACCCCTATGGACAAGTCAAGAGATGTTCCGAAAACTGTAAATATCACCTTTTTGCACCTGGCCTAATCACTCTTTCCATATCAAAATCAGTTAAAATACAACATCCAAAAGTTTATTTCACCTCTCTTCTTTTATTTCCACCCCAAAAAAACTAAGAAATGAGTGAGGAAGGGAAAGAAAAAAAATTAAGAAAAAATACACTCTAATTAAAAGGAACTATATTCGTGGACAACGAAAAGCTGGATCATTAATTGTGGTCTTGGGCCACATTGTAAATATGCACGAGTCAACTTCTACAAACAGATGCAGGATTCACGTAGTTAAGACCATTTTGAGATTATAAGCATTGTGAATAAGTTTCATAAACATTTGGTTGAGACAAACTAAAGTTAGAGAACGGAAACGATAGATTTAGCAATTTTCCATTTCAAAATGGGCATAACTGAAGAACGGTAAAAGTGACGCCACCCAATTTCAAACTTGATCTGTGTTTTGTGGTAATAAACATTGAGTATAAGTTTCATAACATTTGGTTGAGGCAAACTAAAGTTAGAGAACGGAAACCAATTATGGGGATGTACACGAGGGATGGGACGGGACGGATGGACAAGGGTAACACTTGATGCCCCCTCTGCTACAGCAGGGGGCATAACAAGGGTAACACTTAATGCCCCCTCTGCTAAGGCAGGGGCATAACAAGGGTAACACTTAATGCCCCCTCTCCTACGGCGGGGGCATAAAAATAGCAGAAAATGTCCAATAAACCTTCACAAATTGATAGTCAGTTTTGCCTTTTAATTCTCAACTTACATCAAAAAATTCTCCATCTTTCTTTTTCACTTGAAAAATTTAGAAATAATAATACATTTGACATTGCTTTGTTTGAGAACTGAAAGTAGAGTGTCATATTAGAATGACAGAATTTTTCACACATATGTCTTTGTTGATGTTTCTTGTGATATTATTTTTACACAAGAGACCGATAATGACAGTATTCCTTACCATAATATTAAGAAATGTCATGAAAGACACAGCTTTGTTATGTAACACAGCCACAAAATTCTTCAGTTTAGCTACGTCCTGGGATATAGAATTTAGCCATTTTGTTCTATCGACTGATTCCAGACTTTCTACAAGCGACGTTAAACAAACACAAGCTGCTTCAGTGTTCACCCTGCTTAATTCCTGTGAACATAAAACATTTAATTATAGTTACTGAAGATTCATTTGCCAGGTACTAATTTTTGTTGAATAATTTGACACATATGCTCATGTGACACGGCAGGCATATTTCATTATAAATGAAATAAAATGCTTCGCTGGGCGCAGCTTGATACGACCGCAGAGGTGGAACCCTGAACAGTTGGGGCAAGTATGGACACAACATTCAAGCTTGATACAGCTCTGAATTTGGATTGTGATTAAATATTTGACACAGCATAGGTTTCTGACACAGAAAGAATGTGGTCTAAGAACTTCAATTTTTTTAATTTACCTATTATGGTCAAATGTCCAAAATCAAAATACATGGTTAGATTCAGCATATCAAAGAACCCCATATATTCAATTTTTGTTGAAATCAAACAAAGTTTAATTTTGGACCCCAACTTGGACCAACTTGAAAACTGGTCCCATAATCAAAAATCTAAACACATGTTTAGATTCAGCATATCAAAGTACCCCAAGAATTCAATTTTTGTTAAAATCAAACTAAGTTTAATTTTGGACCCTTTGGACCTTAATGTAGACCAATTTAAAAAAACGGGACCCAAAATTAAAAATCTAAAAACACGGTTAGGTTTGGCATATCAAAGAACCCCAATAATTCAATTTTTGATGAAATCAAACAAAGTTTAATTTTGGACCCTTTTGACCTCAATATGAACCAATCTGATAGCGGGGTCCACAAATAAAAAATCTAAATACATGGTAAGATTCAGCATATCAAAGAACCCCAAAAATTCAGTTTTTGTTAAAATCAAACTAAGTTTAATTTTGGACCCTTTGGACCTTAATGTAGACCAATTTAAAAAACGGGACCCAAAATAAAAAATCTAAATTCATGGTTAGATTTGGCATATCAAAGAACCCCAATAATTAAATTTTTGATGAAATCAAACAAAGTTTAATTTTGGACCCTTTTGACCTCAATATGAACCAATTCGATAGGGGGCCCACAAATAAAAAATCTAAATACATGGTAAGATTCAGCATATCAAAGAACCCCATATATTCAATTTTTGTTGAAATCAAACAAAGTTTAATTTTGGACCCCAATTTGGACCAACTTGAAAACTGGGCCAAAAATCTAAAATCTAAATACAAGTTTAGATTCAGCATATCAAAGAACCCCATATATTCAATTTTTGTTGAAATCAAACAAAGTTTAATTTTGGACCCCAACTTGGACCAACTTGAAAACTGGGCCCATAATCAAAAATCTAAACACATGTTTAGATTCAGCATATCAAAGAACCCCAAGAATTCAATTTTTGTTAAAATCAAACTAAGTTTAATTTTGGACCCTTTGGACCTTAATGTAGACCAATTTAAAAAACGGGACCCAAAATTAAAAATCTAAATACACGGTTAGATTTGGCATATCAAAGAACCCCAATAATTCAATTTTTGATGAAATCAAACAAAGTTTAATTTTGGACCCTTTTGACCTCAATATGAACCAATTTGATAGCGGGGTCCACAAATAAAAAATATAAATACATGGTTAGATTCAGCATATCAAAGAACCCCATATATTCAATTTTTGTTGAAATCAAACAAAGTTTAATTTTGGACCCCAATTTGGACCAACTTGAAAACTGGGCCAAAAATCAAAAATCTAAATACATGTTTAGATTCAGCATATCAAAGAACCCCATATATTCAATTTTGTTAAAATCAAACAAAGTTTAATTTTGGACCCTTTGGACCTTAATGTAGACCAATTTGAAAAACTGGACCCAAAATTAAAAATCTAAATACACGGTTAGATTCAGCATAACAAATAAATAAATGTGGTCAAAGATTTTACAAATCTAATGCGCCATACTGGTCTTCCTTTATAAATATGCATTTCTTTAAACATAATTTAAAAGCAGTGTAAGGGAAGTAACCAAAACGTTGTATTTGGATTACCTCCCTTACACTGTTTTAAATTATCTTAATTGTTCATTAACCATTACTTTATACATAATTTAAAAGCAGTGTAAGGGAGATAATTTCAATGATGTATTTGATTTATCTCCCTTACACTGCTTTAAATTATGTTTTGTACTTAAGTATTTGTCCATTAATGAGGACAACCTTGTTCTTCCCCCTTTTTTGCCCCTAATTCTTAAACGGTTTGAGCAATAACCCCCCAAAGCAAATCCTAACCATCCCTTTGTGGTATGGAAACTTGTAGTATAATTTCAGAGAGATCCATACACCGTTCCACAGTTATTGTCTGGAAACTAGAAAATGCTTATTTTTGGCCCCTTTTTGGCCCCTAATTCCTTAACTGTTGGTACCATAACCCCCAAAATCAATCCCCACCTTCCTTTTGTGGTATTGAACCTTATGGTAAAATTTCATAGAGATCCATTCACTTAAACTAAAGTTAGAGTGCGAAAACTAATGCGTCTTCGGACGACGACGACGCCAACGTCATACCAATATACGACCACAAAAATTTTTTTGCGGTCGTATAAAAATTGGCATGAAACCTCTAAGTTAGTGAAAAGTGAGGCGAGAAATAACTCATTAATTTTTACTCATATTTTTGTTTGCCTTGTTGTAGACAAAAGAATTTAATTTAAGGCTATGGTGGCATTTCAGACTCTTAAAATCTCCTTCAAAGACATATTTTTAGACTAAAACATGTTAGAAAGAAAGTATTTTTTTCTCTCAAAACATGTACTTAGACAAAATTTTGTAAATGTAGTTTATATAGAACATCAGTAGTATCATATTAGCCTACTATCTGAGTGTGAACAGAAAAAGAGTGTGCTTCACCTTCACAAGTGAAAGGTTTAGCTAGCTATAAAACCAGGTTCAATCCACCATTTTCTACATAAGAAAATGCCTGTACCAAGTCAGGAATATGACAGTTGTTATCCATTCGTTTGATGTGTTTGAGCTTTTGATTTTGCCATTTGATTAGGGACTTTCCTTTTTGAATTTTCCTCAGAGTTCAGTATTTTTGTGATTTTACTTCAAGTTCAATCTATTCAATTCTGGTATAATTATTTATGAAAAGGTACCTAAAATTCAAAACATAACATATTAATCCTGAATTTACCCTGATAACATTTGCCTATCCAATACAAGTTTTCAAATAAAAGAAGAATGTGTCTGAGGACACACATGCCCCTGCTCAAGCTTGGTTTTCAAACGAAAATGGAACATATGGAAAGATGGAAGGAACGAAAGATGGAAAGAAGGAAGGACGGAAAGACAGAAAGACGAAAATACGGAAGGACAGAAGGTTAAGGATAACCATTAATGCCCCCTTCGTCTTACGGCGGGGGCATAAAAATACTAATTTACTAAAGGTCTGTATGCAGAATTTGTTAACACATGAATTCAAGTATCCACAAAAAATACTATTTAACCCAATCCATGAAAATTAGGACCAATTTATGAACATTTGCCATAGTCAGGAACAATGTTCTTATTTATTTTTGACTTAGAAAACATTAAATTAATCAACTCTGAAACATGACATATATTTTATTGTGTAGGTGTTAATTGCAGATCTTAAACACTTCCTATTTAATTTATTCACATCTTTTTGTAAAAACTTGATTCAAGGAATGGAAAAAATTGTGATAACATTACCCAAGGTTCCATAGATGGATTCTTTTTAAAGTTAGTGCCACTGAGGTTTTCTGTAGATGATTCCATGTCCAGATCTGTAAAACTTTCTGTCAATTCATTTTTAGACATTTCCAAAGTCTTTTGATATAGCACTTCCTCCCTGACTGCATTATACAGTTCTTCTGAACCCTGTAGTAATTTATTATCACAAACATTAACTAACTCTTTCACATGTTCCGTTATATGTTCTGCTATCGACTTCATTTCACTAAATAATCCATTGGAAGCAATATCACATAGTCTCTGACAATCATTGTTTACTTTCACATTCAGTTTGTATATACTGTTAATGAGTTGACATGCTTTGTCTAGTTTGGTGTTTTTACTAAGTGTCCCGTCGGCACTGTAAAATTCCTTTTGATGTTGTAATAATTTCATCAAACCACCATGTTTGTATTTTTGTGCATAAGCTGTGAAGGCTCCTACAGTCACTATATCATACCAAGAGGCTGAAAAAAAACCCCACAATTATAAGAGAGGAAATACATCTGAAATCTTAAGCGGCATATTCATATGGTACTTAATCTATCTAGTGAAAACAAATTTCTGTACAAACGATTTATCCTCTTTCGCTTTGGAAACAAAGCCATGTTCTAATTACAATAAAACATGGGCTGCACGTGATTGACGTCACAATTGAAATTGCAACGTCAGTTGTATTTTGAACAACGCTGGAGGTCGAAATGGACAGTTTTGTCGCTGTTGCTCGCTAGGAAATTAAATAAAATCATTCTAAAAGTAAGTTTACGTATATATGTTAATTTTTTATCGTTCAACTGTTGATTTTCTATAACGCTTTTTGTTCATCAAATCAAAATGGCTGCCTTTTGAATGTGTATTATAGGTCCGCTTCAAAGTACAAAAGTTCTAAATATTCCTATTAGAATCAAAATAATTCTATCATGCCATGCTTTATGCTCATTTTATCATGGGTAGGCATTATATTTGTCAATATTTTACACCTTGCTAATGCTCGGTATAAAGATATTGACAAATATAATGCCTACCCATGTTAAAATTAGCATAGAACATGGCATGAAAGAATTATTTCTTAAATATAACACAGATTTTCAAATTAATGTGAGTGATTTGTATATAATACAAGCAAGCTTGGAAAAATGAAAGCTCTTAATATGTTATTAAATCTGATGAGGTATATATATGTGTAATGAAAATTATGGTTGGATGGACAAGTGAAAGGAAGGGCAAGGTTATTGCATTTACCACACACTCGGTGGTAAAATATTTTTTTAAAACTTTTTTAGACTCTTCTAAATAGTTTTATGTGCTTTGGATCTGGTATAACTTGTAGCATCTTATATCTTTGTTCCTATGCATGCCTATGCTGGGGAAAATGTTTAACAGTTCCTGATTTTTATTTCAAATTAGTTTTGTCTTTATATTTAATGAGCTGCCATACTTCATTTAGATAATTTAGAGAATGTTACGGAAAGTTTTATATTTCTTCTATTCAAAATTTGTTTCTTTTTAAATAATACATTAATGTGGACATTAATCAAAATCTTAATACTGGCTGATTATCACGGTGTGTGTCCCACTCACCCTAAGAAAGTAATTTCTAAATAATATATATATCCATTAAATTTAAAAAAAGCATATGGTAAGAATTTAGTTTTTTAGCGTGTACATAATTCATTATATATGCAAAAACATTGAAAATTGGACACAATGGACGAAATTAAATCATATGTTTGTATTGATATCAACCCCTGCTTCAAAAGCATTGTGTGTGTGTGTGGGGGGGGGGGGGAGGGGGGGAGGAAGGCTGCCTTGCCTTATTAGTTCATCTAGTTATTAGTAGCCTGTCAAAATTAAGGTTATGAGTTCCAAACCCACTCGTGCCGAGGTACATCTAACTCTGATCTAAATTGACAAGGATTGCCATTTTTCTGCTGAAGGTTGATGGTTCTCCACAGCTTCTTTAACAAATATAAGCTGGCCACCAAGGGGACTGAAACTGGTATTTAACACCAACAAACAAACATATACCTTGGAATGATATATTGAGCCAAAAAAAAAAAAATAGGTGCAGTATAATCTGTTGCTGCTTTTTTTTGTTAGTATAGTAATTTTGATAAAAGCCAACTTCCAATAGATGCTGGGACACACAGTAAGATACAAACTGCTTACTTGCTTTATTTTGAGATGGCCATTTAGCTGTAAGAACATTACAGACATTTAAAATGATTCTTAACTGAAGATTTAGGTGCAGTTTACCATGAATGTCATGATATAAATCTAATCTAAGACAGACCTTACACAAATATTTTCTACTGTAAATCTACTGATTTTTACCTGTAGAAGTGTATAAAAATAAGCAGAGGTTGAAAATAGAAAAATTAGCATTGCAATTAAAAAACATTGAATCACAACAATTTTTTTTCAATCATCATCACTTTCCTTCTTTAAATAAACCAAATCGTAGAAAAATAGACAAAATACTTGACTATCAGAATTAAAAGTTCTTGTAACATGAAGTTTGGACAAATTTGATGTTGTTGGAATGGATGTGAATCTGATTATAAATATGACAGATATTATACTCACTCCTCTCATTTTGAAAGAAATGTGGATGCCCTAAATAGAATATACCTCAATCAAAATTATTTATGAAAACTATAACTATAAAATTACAATATTAAAACGGTAAGTCAATTATTAAAATCATACGTAAAGACACTAAAAAAAGTGTATGTATACAATCCATTAGTAGTGCCTAAACAAACATCTATTTAGATAATTAAGAACAATCTGTGACAAAAAAGATCTACTTCATTCTATTTCTTCAATTTTAACATATGTCCTAGAACATAAAGGGTAGCCAATTGTTCTGCAAAGAAAAACTATTTTTTCAAGGGTTTTAAAATAGTATCATGTTTTTTATGTTATATGTTCTTACTTGTATCATTGAGTTCATTAATGACTGTCATTCTCTGTAAGTGGAGATTCAGGGGAGCAAACTCTAGGTCTTTGTCCCCTTTCTTGATGCTAGGCTTGAAACTAGGACCTGTAACAGAATAGTGAAAAGAATTTAGCCTTGAATGTAAAACATGATATATTGGAAATATTTCTGAACAGTTATAGTATTATTTTTAAACTTTTCATATGAACTTACAATGTATAGAATTAATTTATATTACTTAAAATGTAAATCCCTTTTCTCCATAAGGGTTTTTCCAGTTTTCCTTTCACAACAATTCTGTTTCAAGAAAACTCTATTCAACATATTTATTCCATTTTCCTATTATTTTGTAAAATATAACAAAATTACTAATTTTTTCAAACATATCTGATTTTTACAAAATTTCAATTATTTACTCACAATTAAAAGACAGGAACAAAAATCAGCATATCCAAATTGAATGTATAGAATTATCTCAAACAAATATATGATAAATGTGTCTGATTAGTATATGTATGATTCACAACACCAATGCAATATATGTAGGAATTAGTTTATAGTGTCTTTACATTTAAAGCAGGCTTTTTGTTATTATAATTTTTCTATTCTGGTGGAATTAACTGTCTATGTTTAAAAAATTTTATGCTGAATATTTCAGAAAAATCTTTCACAAAGTATCAAACATTAAATTTAAACAACCACTATGTGGTAGCAGAGGTTGTGTTTCTCCAATCAAACTGTGTGTAATAGTAAGCCAACTTGTGTTTCTCCATGCAAAGACAACTGATTTGTCCATTTGCACTTCATTTTAATTACATGCACTTTTCAATGGATAACATTTTAAAAGGGTGAGATACACAAAAACATTTTCTGGTTAAGTTTCCACACATGATTACTCAAAACAAATTTATCTTTTACCATAAAAAATCACTTCTAAAACATATTTTAACTTTATATCACAACTTTCCTTTGTTCTATAATTACAAACAAGTTACCTTTAAATGATGAAATAAGATGATAATGTTGCTCATATAACATGACAATACTCGTGCAATGTTCTGTAGCCTCTTGACATGCATGCTGACACCTAGTGGACATCTGTTAGGGGAGATAATTATGTTAGCAGTGACATTACTAGCTCTTCATTCTGTAAATTCCATTTTTTCCAAAAAATTGTAGGGTCTATGAAAATTAGGATCTACAAGATCTGGTCCAGTATTTGGGACTGAAAGTTTGGTCGAGGCCTTATCTTACAATTTTGACCTTTTTCCACTGCTTTTAGAAATTAACATATGAATGATTTATACAGATGTGCCATCAAGATATGTTCTGATCCCTGAATGATAAATCTAGATATTAATTAAATGCTGATGGTGAGAGATCTGTATAGCCAGTCAAGGTGGTCATCATCAACTTAAAGTTTTTAACTGTTGACAATGACTCAATTTCTATACAGATATACTGGTAATGACTTATTTTAACATATGTCAAATTTTGTGAAAGTGTTCCCAGTATATAATTGATATGAATGAATTTTTGTCTTTCAGAATAAATGGAGTTTACAGATTTCATTTATACATTTCCTGTCAGAGGGCCACAATGAATTTCCTGTAAAGTCCATATCAAAAGTCTCAATTTTGGATATTTAATGTGATAAGACATTTTGACCCTTTATATGATAGAAATTGATAAAATGTGCATGGTTTTAAATTTGAAATTCCTGCTAATTAATTTATTTCATAACAATTTTCCCATTAGTTTGTAATTATTTAAGGCAAATATATCTTCTTCATATCCATTAAATTACAAAAAAAATAAAATAAAAATAACGCTATGTAAATGTTATGCGTCCAAAGAACTTTTCTGTATTTACCTTCATCAGGAGCCAAAGCCAAATATTTGAAAGCCAAATGTATAAGAACTGAAACTAGTGACGAGCTATTTGACCAAAAAGGGACATAAGAATAATAGCCAAATCCATCTAAAGTCAACATTGACTGAGGGAGTTGGAACCTTAGTTTTTTTAATAATTTCTGAATTTCTAAATGGGCAATTTTTCAATTTTTTTTAGTGTTGAAATATTTTACTGTATTTTTCAGCCATATCAATATCATTTTAAGCTGTTGGGATACAAAAAAGAGTTCTAAAAAGATTTTTACTTCATTATGAGATTAAAAGTTTCAAAATTTCAATTTTTTTCACAATTAAAGAATAAAATGTGAAATATTACTTAACCTGTTTTTGACCAAAGAGTAAAAATAAAAGATGAAAAATTGAATATGCAACATTAAAAGAATTAACCCTAAAAATGATAATGATTTGGCTTATTTCTTTTACTCTTGTAAAGTCTTCCAAAGACTTTGGAAAGTTGAAAATGAAAAATATCAGAAGGAATTCCTATACTTATAAATACATGATAACAGATAGCTTTCAGGTTTCACATAGTCAGTTTATTTAAAACTCAAAATGGCATAAAAAAACAATAATTTTGAAGCCCATTGTCTTGTACACATGCTTAAATAAAGTAAACATGAAAATGGACTGATTGCCTTTAACAACAACTATGTCCAAAGTAAAAGAGCTGTCCCAATCTTGGCAATAGGAGGACCAATCAGAGAAATTGATACATATCACCAATATACCACAGAGTTGACAACTTGATGTAAGTTTGTAATTAAAGTTTAACGATGGTAACTGAGCATAAATATTAATGAAATTAAGTTATTTCAAGAGGCTGTCATTATCGTATCCTAAATCAATGACCTATGATGGCAATGTTTCCTTCCGGTTTAAAGTACGCCCACACATTGCAGATAGACATTAGATATTGTTTTGACTTCCTGTTTAAAAAAGTAATGCATGTGTACAAGTTAACAAATCATCCCTATTTTGTATCTGACCAACGAAACAAGACAATCCTGAATAACTACCTGTAACCACGTTTTAAAACATGGATTAATCTGATTATATATTACATTCAGTTAGTTCTGGTGGAAACATTTCCTACACACCAATAGTTTCTTTCATATATTTTAAATAATAAAACTATAAAACTATATAAAATAATGAAATTTCAGTACATCTCGATAAATATTCAAGAAAAAGTAGGAGATAATATTTCTATTCTTCAAAGCTTGCTTTAGGCATGTCCTGAAGAATTCTATAGAGCAATATGTACAGGGCATTACGGGTAATACAAAAGGCTGCTTGTGATCTTGTTTAAAGATGCTTACAAAAAAAGGTATGACCTATTAATGAAATATTTTTAGTTTTATATTTGAAAGAAACTCAGCTATACCAATTAAAATTGGATTAAGTTACCAATATCATGACCAGTATCAAGGTAATTGGTCAAATAATTGTATGCCTTTGTATATTCTGTTACTATGGTAGCACAGAGGTCAATTGCAGTCACTTGTTCTTTTTCATACCAGGACCAAAGCTATAAATATACTACATGTATCAAGATATATGGTAACAATGGTTTTTTTCTATAGCCAAGTAATTATTTTGTGTTTAATCTCAACCAAACAATACAACATTCCCCTCCCTCAAAAGATGTATAGAAAACATATACAGCCTACAACAGTGGACCGTATGTCAAGCTCTAAACCTGTTGTCTGGAAAATTGTGAATAAATTTAACAGACCATCAAAAATCATCCTTCAACATTAAGGTGAATGGAGTTATAATAAGTACAAACAATTAAGGTATTTGTGTCTATGATTTGGCCAATATAAGATACACACTGCTTTTAGAACTAAGCAAAAAAAAAAAGAAAGTATTCTGTTAAAAAATCAATTTATCTATAATCTGTGATAGACAGACTATTCCTACCTGTCCTAGATTCTTAATTTGATCTATCATTGACTTTTCTTCATCTATCCACAGTTTACTGAAGAAAAAAAAAAGAATTTCCTAAGTAAGGTATAAAACATAATGAATTTTGAATTATTTGAATCCTTAATATTTAACTGTCTACTCCTTTCCAATACATTTGTTTATCATAGATTTTTTTAATTGTTTACATCCTTGTATAATAGTTATTTATCAATTATAGACTTTTGAGGAAGTCCGAGTGTCAATATAATCTTAAACAGGTCCATATATAATGTATTGACTGAGTGAAAGTCCTTAATTTATATATTACATATGTAAATAATGTATTAGGAAAATGGCATTCAATGTTCTTTCTGTGTATTTCTAAATTGTATTTTGCAAGAATTTTAACATGTTATTGAAAATATCAATATTCTTTGAACAACTTCATAGCTTGTTGCATTAGCTTTCTTGCATTCTTAGCGTCTGCCTTTAACGTAAAAATTCTTGTGATAAACTTGCAAATTTTCTTTTATCCGCTTCCTCCATGGTTGTTATGTGTGACGTCATGACGTCATAAATCTTAATTTAGCAAGATTTTTCATATTGACCTTCAAAATATACATATGAATTGAAACATAGCGTCAATATACTTAAAAAAGGAAACAAGGCTTCGGATACATAAAATAACCTTTCAAACACGTTATCGTAATATCCAATGAAAACAGGAGAATGCTACACCATATGTAATATATCTCTTTATTTCTGTGACATGATTAATTTTATAAAACATGTATGCCAGTTTCAAACCAGACACCTGTAATCCAATGATTGTTGTTAATTGGTGTATGCTATTTTTGCTTTCCCGGTAGTTTCTTGTTGTAGAATAAATCAGGCCCTTGGTTTTCTCATTTAACCAGTTGTTTCCCTTTATGTCATGCCAGGATCTTTTATAGCTTATTAAAGATTTTATTATGGATTTTGCTCATTTTTGAAGGCCATACAGTAACGTGTTATTGTTCATGTCTTTGTCATTTTGTCTTTTTTAAATGGATAGTTGTCTCTATGACAATCATATCATATCTAGTTCTTGTTTGAATTGTTTAATATTTTATCATACTGGGGCCTTTTATAGTTTACTATACAATATAGGTTTTGATCTTTCCAATTGTTTACATCTTCATTTTTTCATGTCTGGTGTGTCGTTGTACCATTGGCAATCATACCATATCTTCTGATTTTGATATGTAAACCATTAATGCCATTTTTTTCATTCACAATATTTTATATAATTAAAACAATACATACATCAACTGTAATGGTATATCAAAAGCCAGTTTTGCCTCAGCCATATACTCATGAACAAGTAATTTGACTCTGCCATCTGACGTATCAAATCTAAAAGTCCGTGTGATGATACCACGATATAAGGGACGTAACGTGTCCACTCTCTTAGAACGTCTTCTACACGGTGACTTTTTTAACTTGTCATTTTTACAGTCATCAGCCTGTGTAAATAAAAATGTAGGATTATTATTTAAAGCATAATATTCACATTACATGTATGTTTCTTTAGAATCCCTTATTTTGATTGGATGACAACAATATCATATTTTATTTCCGTACAAAATACAACAGCTATGACTTCACGTGCTATCCATGACAATGTTAAAGTAATGCATTGAAAAACAAACAAAAAGCTTGATATAACTCTTAATTTAAAAGGTTGTAGCATAAAAATGTAATTATAAGAATTGAATGCTTCTTTTCAATAGGGCTGTAAAACGTTGATTGTTGAACACATGAACTTAGAAACATTATGAAAAATGTTCTCCTGATTATTTGTGTTGGGTTGCTGTCTCATTGATGTAAACCCCATATCTTTCATATATTCTATACTTCACTTCTAAATATAAAACTGATTAATAGATGTTTTATAAGATTTATCATTATTTCTTTTTCTGATATGGCGGCTAATCAGAAACTTGATATAAAGTGTTTTAATCAGCAAGCATAAAGAAGAAAATGAGCTGACAACTGTTTATTAATGACAATACAGAAGAGGTTGGACCAACAGACATGGGTCAAACTATACACCTCTTACTGGTGTATTAATGACAATACAGAAGAGGTTGGACCAACAGACATGGGTCAAACTATACACCTCTTACTGGCGTAGTAACATACCTCTTGGATTATCACTGTCATTTCCTTATTACTGATATATATTTATCAATAATACTGTATATTTTTTTATTATAAGAATCATGCATTAGAAGGAATATAAAAAACATTCTTACACAAACTGAAAATAAGGAAGGGCAGAAAAAACACAATCAAAGTTACTATCTTTAACAGGCTATTAATTATAGTTACTGTTAATTCAGACATTTTTGTGAAGATTGCCACCAGATAGGTTTAACACAAAATAAAAATGCATTATTTGTAGACAGCATTTTCTGAAATAATTCATCTCGTAATTTGTTATGTCTTATTCAACAATTGTAATAATAAGAGAGCATAACATTTTCTGAATACAGTATAAGCCACCCTTAAAAAAAATCTTAGTTTGATGTTGCCTACCCATGCCTTGTACGGTTGGATAGGTAGGTAAAGATTTTATCTATTTTTGGCCAATAACATAAGTTACATATTTTAAAGTAGAAAACGATATAAGAGCAGGAAAAAACTTTTAAAAAATTTGAAACGATTAGTGTCATAAAATTTTCTAGGTAGGCTGTATTTAGGTGGGTAGGTAGGCAACATCAAACAATTTAAATTTTATTTTTGGCCATTGTTGTCTATGTTACAAGCATACTTATAATAACCAAAGGCTAGTTTTTATATTTCTTCAGTTCAGTTTATTTTTCACCTATATGCAGAATAAATCTTAGCTTGAAATAAATATTGATGAAGAAATTTCCAGAGAAAAGATTTACCTTATTCTTCACAAGCACAAAAATAATTTAATTTTCCTCTTACAGTTCTCCTAAAAGTTGTAAGTTGTAATAGCATATTGTGGATTCATTATTTTTGGTGGATTTTGTGGGTAAGGGTGAACCACAGATATAAATGTTCAATTAAGTACTAATTTTCAATCTGCTTGTATGAGGGTAGGAATTCCCTTTACCGTCAAATGACCTTTTTCTGCTACCGTTAGCGTCAAATGAGGCTTATTTTTTTTAACGTCATTAGTCAAATCTAATTTTGTAGCTACTGTTAGTGTCAAATGAAGTAAAATATTTATCGTTAACTTTATTGTCATTTGTCAAATCTAATTTTGTAGCTACTTTTAGCGTCAAATGAAGTAAAATTTTTATCGTTATATTTATTTTAACAAATATTTTACTGTCATTTGTCAAGTGGGGTACCCCATTACTACCCTCTTGTATGCAGAATTTAACAAAACCATGAAATTCAAATATCCACAAAAATTAAAATAATTCTTCATCCACTAAAAAATTGGTTCCCACGAAAATACATGAATCCACTGTAAAAGGAATATGAAGGAATTGTGGTGTGTTTTGAATAATTATTATAGAAGAATATTTAGAAAGACATAGTTTCATAGCTATTTACTTTATATAACAAACAATGCAAGCTTAAGCGTTAATATACATACAGGCCCATTAGGAACAGATATATTTGTGTCATTTACCCAGGCCATAACTTTAACAGTTCCACAGTCCACAGGATCTGGTCCTCTGTAAATAGAAATAACTATATACATGTGCAAGGATATGTATCCAGGTGATAAATTGACATCCCTATATCCTCAAAATATGGTCCTCTGTAAGCTACAGAAGTGACCTTAAACAAATAATTACCCTGAAATAACTTAAAGCAGTCCCATTAGTCCAAATGTTCATAGCTGACAGTCCAAAATCATATTTCACCTAATTATTTCCCCTCCCTGAAACCCTTATGGTAAGGTTGAAAGAAGGGAAACAATATTTTAATTTTTTGATCCTATCCAAATAAATACATTACCAAATGCAATAAGAAATGCTCTCCTGAATAATAAGCTTCACTTTGTGGAAAACAAAAAGTGAGTTATGTAATCCAGATTTTTCTAACACACACAAGTTTATAAATCATATCTGTTTTTCTTGGAAAAAGGACAAAAAATAAATCTCATCAAATTCTAATGATAGTACAAAGTTCTTAGTATAAATATAACTGTAGTTAATATCCATATATGTATTCTTAACTTAACTAAAATGTGCAGTTACAAGATCCAAACCATATAGCCTATGATAATGTATGGAGCAAGACTTAACTAGCTACTATGGTTACAGGTTATAGTTATATAACTGGAAAAGTCCAGTATAATGAATGCTTAGGAATTGAACCATTCCAGGAAACTAAAGCTGAAATGCTTTTTCAACTATAACATCACAGTACCCAAATTGCACAGAATACCCAATTTGCCAAAAAAATAAAACAGAGGAAATCTTAAAGGTTTTCTTCAAGACTAAATAGTTGGTATTTTAATAAATTGCCACTATGCATGTCTTTCAACATAGATAAATATACATTGGACTTCAATGTCTTTTAACTGCGTATTGCTGTGTGTTTTTTTTTTCTTATCCAAAAGTGTATATCCAAATACTATAGAAATATATTCATAGATCAGTTCTCCATTACCCTTACTATTATTTTATTCAATCTGGATTCTAATTTTCAGTATATTATTTCGTCTCCTTTCAATAACTTGTTCTTAATTCTATTACTCATTCAAGTCAACAGAACTTAAATCAATCAGAACTTACTTTTGTTAGGTAAACATCATGTGAAGCAATAAAGAAATTTTGTGAAAAATTTATTTTCGAGCCAGTATGCAAAAAAGTTTTATTTCGTGATGACTGTTGAACAAAAAATTTAACTGCATAATAGTAACCCCCAAAAAACTTGATATAAATATTTTACTTCCTTCCTTTAAAAAAAAAATCATTTCCGTAATTCAGCAATAAGTCATAAAACTAGTTCAATGTGAACATAACCTGATTAAATGCATTAGCATTCACTCATATAAAATTTATACTTGTTTTTTTTTAAATCTGATAAATCTTTGTGTTAAAAATAACAATTGTGCATTTTCTTTGAAAGTAAAAATATTCTCTTTGATTAACAATGCCCTTTTTTAATTCATTTTTACATTTTTAGTTCTTTCAATATAAAGAAATTTTATAACTCACTTGATCATCTTTCTGTATAAAACAATAACAATCAATATCTTTGTCGAGTGGTATAAAAACGTGATATATTGGATTAAACTTAAGGAGATAAGTTTGTTAGGCTTTAAAGTTAATTATAACTGAGGAATGCACAAGGAAGTCCTTCAACTATAAAACACTTATTATCTCTAAATAAAAAGTTGCAATAATTTTTTAAAGTTATTATTAAAATTCTCAACAAAATTATTCCTAAATATATTGTTAGTCTTTGTAATTGTTGTGTATAACTATGTTTGTTTCAATCATATATATGGACATTAGGACCAAGTGGTCATAGTACTGTGGATTCATGGACATTAGGACCAAGTGGTCATAGTACTGTGGATTCATGGACCTTAGGACCAAGTGGTCATAGTACTGTGGATTCATGGACCTTAGGACCAAGTGGTCATAGTACTGTGGATTCATGGACCTTAGGACCAAGTGGTCATAGTACTGTGGATTCATGGACCTTAGGACCAAGTGGTCATAGTACTGTGGATTCATGGACCTTATGACCAAGTGGTCATAGTACTGTGGATTCATGGACTTTAGGACCAAGTGGTCATAGTAATGTGGATTCATAGACCTTAGGACCAAGTGGTCATAGTACTGTGGATTCATTATTATTTCTTAGATACCAATTTTTGTGGATTTCAAGGATACAAAAGAACAATGAATTTAAAGGTTCAACGAAAGCCACATTTTCACATTTTAAAGTTGTAAGTATCCACGAAGTGGCAAGTTTTCCTCTATCCATGAAAATTGGTACCCACGAAAATAAATGAATTCACAAGTGTTTCTATCTGGCTGCCTTCATCAATTCAAAATGGTCCCCATGATAAAGCCAAGGAAGCAGAAAGTTGGGTTAAACACCAACACACAAACAAACAAACAATCAAAAAATTCAAATTATATATTCTCTTACAGCTCTTCTATAAAAGCATGCAAAGCAAACCTTTGATCAACTTGCTTGCTATGTTTGTTTGGATGTTTGTAAACAAAAGGTAGGTAGTCTGTTTACTATACACTGGAATTTGATTGGACAATAAACATTAACTTCACTGCATGTCAATTTTTATTGTCTAATCAAATTCCAGTATATACAAAACAGACTGAAACTCTGCCTACCTATTGTTTGCAAACATCCAAGCAAACCTAGCAAGCAAGTTGATCAAAGTTTGCTTTGCATGCTTTTATAGAAGAGCTGTAATCTATGTTAAGTCTTCATATTAATAAATTATTCTGTTAAACTGTGTTAAGTGTTTTTATTAATTAAATATACTGCAAATCTATGTTAAGATTTTGATGTTTTTCCCTATGTTAAGTCAACATATGAAATGATCAGTTCTCTAGACTATAGGCAGATTTCTCACCATGGTCAATTAATTGTCTAAAAGTCAAGTTACTTTGTAAGAAATAAAAAAACCAACATAAATAGTGGCAAGTCCAACAAACACTTTTACCAATACTCAAGTATAACAGCATAGTCTTGGATGTTTTTTTTTTTTAGATATCTCAAGTATAGGCTCAGATAGAGATATCTCAAGTATAGACTCAGACAGAGATATCTCAAGTATAGGCTCCGACAGAGATATCTCAAGTATAGGCTCAGACAGAGATATCTCAAGTATTGTCACAGACAGAAATATCTCGAATGTTGTCACAAAATGTAAAAAAATTCAAATGCATGCAAGCTTGTTACCAGACATCTTGAAATTGATAATATTTTGACTTTAAAACTTCATATAAATGTGACTATCATATTTAAAAAAGCAGTATTCACTTCAATACATAGTACTAACAAGGACAGTACCAGTTTTACTTAAACCTTAAAACTTCCTGTATATGAAGAATATGATTGTTGCTCACTTAACATCCAGGGGGGCAGGGTTCTAATCTACCTTCCTTAACTGATAAAAGCACAATTTTTAGTCATTATCAACTTACAATAATAGCTTTCTATCTGTACAAGTCCTAATCATAAATAATGCCTTATTGAAAGATTTTTTTTGATTTTTACAATCAAAATCACAATATACTTTGCTATAAATATTGCTATACAATTATGAACCCTAATGATCCTACATCACGTCAATGCTTGTATTTTGGCATTGCACAAGGTCAAGATTTTGTCAAACTGTTTATGATGTCTTTAAACTAGCTTTCAGTAACTGCTTATTACTAATTGATTGGTACTCTGTGTCTTTGTTTTGTTTTGCACTCTGATGGGTAAAGCCCTTTCCAAATATTTTTTTTTAGTTTTCACAAGATGTGTCTCAGGGTATTTGGAGGCTTGAATCAAAAGTTGAGTGATACATTTACAAAAAAATGTATGTGCCTGTCCCAATTCAATAGCTTGAATTCAGGGATGTCATTAGTTGTTGTCTAACATAAATCAGGCTATTGGTTTTCTCAGTTGAATTGTTTAACATTTTGTCATTTCAGTGGCCTTTTATAGCCTTCTATATGGTTTTGGTTTAACTCATTCATTGAAGGCCACCCTGTGACTTATAGTGATACTCATTTATCAAAGGCCACCCTGTGACTTATAGTTTTACTCATTCATTGAATGCCACCCTGTGACTAATAGTTTTACTCATTATTGAAGGCCATCCTGTGACTTAAAGTTTTACTCATTATTGAAGGCCACCCTGTGACTTATAGTTTTACTCATTATTGAAGGCCACACTGTGACTTATAGTTTTACTCATTTATTGAAGGCCACCCTGTGACTTATAGTTTTACTCATTGTTGAAGGCCACCCTGTGACTTATAGTTTTACTCATTATTGAAGGCCACCCTGTGACTTATAGTTTTACTCATTTATCAAAGGCCACCCTGTGACTTATAGTTTTACTCATTTATCAAAGGCCACCCTGTGACTTATAGTTTTACTCATTTATTGAAGGCCACCCTGTGACTTCTAGTTTTACTCATTCATTGAAGGCCACCCTGTGAATTATAGTTTTACTCATTTATTGAAGGCCACCCTGTGACTTATAATTTTACTCATTTATTGAAGGCCACCCTGTGACTTATAATTTTACTCATTTATTGAAGGCCACCCTGTGACTTATAGTTTTACTCATTCATTGCAGGCCACCCTGTGACATATAGTTTTACTCATTCATTGAATGCCGCCCTGTGACTAATAGTTTTACTCATTATTGAAGGCCACCCTGTGACTTATAGTTTTACTCATTATTGAAGGCCACACTGTGACTTATAGTTTTACTCAATTATTGAAGGCCACCCTGTGACTTATAGTTTTACTCATTGTTGAAGGCCACCCTGTGACTTATAGTTTTACTCATTATTGAAGGCTACCCTGTGACTTATAGTTTTACTCATTTATCAAAGGCCACCCTGTGACTTATAGTTTTACTCATTTATTGAAGGCCACCCTGTGACTTATAGTTTTACTCATTTATTGAAGGTCACCCTGTGACTTATAGTTTTACTCATTATTGAAGGCCACACTGTGA